GTCGTGTGATGGCTTTGCCTTGACAAGTCTTCACTTGGACATTAATTTCAAGCAAGTATAAGCTATGGGATCCATGCTGCCACTGTTAGCGTTTCAGCTGTTGTCGTTGATGCTGCTGCAAGCAAAACGACTGTAGCAGCATCGGTACCACCGTCACTGAACGTGTTACGGATTGCAGTTCTGTGAGAGGCTGCGACTTGCAGTTCGGTGAGAGGCTACGACAGAGGATGCAGGGGAAGAGGGGGAAGGCGGCGTTGACAAGGTTTGATGTCAGGCACAGCGGCTGGTGGCGGTGCGGCTGGCTCTCGATCCTAGTCAGGTTGATGTCCCGGAAGGCGAAGAAAGCAGGTTTGCTGTCTTCAACCCAAGAAAACTGTGATTGTCCGCTCTGTTGTAGAATCCAACCGCTGTTGCTGCTGCAAGGTAGCTTCTTCCCGGGTGAATCCTCGTGATATGAAGTGCTGTTCCCCTCCACCAAGGGATTCTGGGCCAGCCAGCCTTGCGCAGAAGACTGTGGGGTGGGGCTGCTGCGTCCCTCTCGCCCCTCCTGTGTATCGTTTGCCCAAAAAGCGATCGGGGCTGCTACAGGAGGTGACCGCTAGATTGAGGATGGCCATGAAGAAGGGGCCATCGCACTATCGGTCTCGGCTTGTCCTTCTCAGCCGTGAGCTGCAGCCAATACTTGGAGAGTTTGGAACGGAGGAAGAACGCCTTTGTTGCTTCAGGTTAGTGTTGCCGGAGGTGCGCTGAGGCAGAGGAAATGATGAGAGACGGGGGAGATCTGACAAAGCAGGTGGCCGCAAGAAAGCCGCTGCTCAGGTAGGAGAACACTGGCAGCTGTGAATGAAGCTGCGATTTGGTTGACAGCGAAGAGAATAGGCCGCCGAGCAGACCAGCGAAACAGGGGAAGTCCGGCGTGAACAAGGGCTGCGATGGGAAGATCTACCAGTAGTGAGTCGATGGTCAACGATAGAGTCTCGGCGGAATCGGATCAGCAGCAATACCATCGGCCAGTACAAGTCTCGATACGATAGCCTCATCCGCAGATGTGACTATTACCTTAGTAGGGTCCACACAAGGTCACGTCATTGAAACAACATGCATGCATATAACCAAACCGATTTCTTAAGAGGGTATGTATGGAATGTTGACCCGTGGGAAAATGAGGAGTATAAATGATTTTGCTGAATCACAATTTGCATGTCGCTCTTATGGATCATGGAACCTTACTCTTAACTTGTCCAGTAAAAACTTCAATATTAATATAACACAGTGTGTGGGAATTGAATGAGTTCAACTTGTTCTTATATAAATATACTATATGACTAATGTAGTGTCATACAGTGTGTGAGTCTTATGTCACTGACAAATTAGTTTGTAGCATGATTAAAAAGGATCAAATTAAAATTATAAAGAATGAGTCAGCATGATTAAAATCTGTCAAGGATGAAAGGTAAGTACAAAATACCTCAAGTTAATTGTAACAAGATGTATTATTCTATAGTTTAACAAAGTTTGGTTGGATGGATATTAAAGATGATGTTGAGTTTAAAAGTGAACTTTGATACCATTTTGTTGCAATCCATCTTGATAAGATAATTGTCCTATATTAATAATTCATCCAAAATATTTAAGCCCAATTAATTCGTATTACACCCCTCTTATAAGTTATTCAAAGTCTTTATCCACTTGTAATATGGGGTTTTAGCCTTAGTTGAGTCATCAAAGCCTTAATTAAGTTGATAATTAAGCTTGAAGTAGGCCTCTGTGAAGCTAGATTGATATGAGTTGATTTTCAAGATGTTTTAGGCATGGTAGCCTACTCTAAGTTGCGAGCCTATTCTACGCGATAGTACTGCTTAGAAGTGATAGTTATAATAGTACTCTTATTTTTAGATTTTTTTTTTCTCTTTTACTTCATAATTGTAGACCTTAGGGGTTATATATACCTCTTTCCACTTTCTTAGGGATTATATATACCTCTTGAGTTGACTAGTCAAATAAATTATAGAAGGTGATAGTATTTTAAGTGTGAGGTTCTCTCTTAAGTCCTGAAAGAATAAATTTTTAAAAAATTATTGATCTTTATTCATAAAAATAAGATTAATTTGGAATCAATAGTAAAATTTAATATCTTAAAAAAGAAAATATTGAATCATTATGTTAGTGTCTTCCCATTGTTTGTTTTAACTTCTCAATCTTACTTGTTATTTGCTTATGCTTACCATTGTTTTTAATACTTACATCTCTATTTTCTCCTAAGTTTTAAAAAAAATATATAAGAAATTATTTATATTCATAAGCAACATCAATAATGAAAATTGATGCCTTCAATAAAGAAGGAATCAACATTAGGTTGAGAAAATTAAATCTGTCTTCCTTTTTTTTTTTTTGCTTATGCTTATTATTGTTTCTAATATTTGTATTCTCCCACCCCAAAATAATCATTAAGACTGTAACACTATCATCATTAGCTGCCTGATTGCAGCTCCAATGATCATGGTTTTATCACTATGATCATAACATGCTTAAAACAAATATGCTTTCTGCATTGCAAGAGAAATATTAGTACATTAGCCCATTAAGCAATCAACATTGGCGAAAATAAAACTATCTATCTATCTATCATTGTATTGGGAGACTATTTTAGATAAATCATTGTATTGGAGCCTAAAGCGAGTACTAGTTCCTATACTCCATCTTTCCAATGTATGTAATGATCCTTGCTCCTGTTTATGCACTGCCTATTCTCTACTGGATTTGACTATGGTTCTGGAACAATTAAGCTCCAAATAAAGGAAAAGGAGAAAAAGAAAGTGCTAAAAGAGTGAGAAGAAGGAAAAAGCCAACAAAAAAACCTTTGAACTCTCTCAGCGGAAAGAGAATGGTCAGTGCAGCCAAAAGACGCGATTAGTGATGTGATTAAGCAGCCGGAGAGGAGTGACAGTATCGAAAAACTTGTACCACCTGCTTCCAGCGGGAAGGTAAGAGGCTGGCTTCTGTTTTTAGGGATAGGAACACTGTGGCTAATTGGTTGGGGACGCATGCACGTATAATCAAATCATCTAATTTTTGGACCGAAGGTAAGGTTAGTCTTCAAAACTTAGAAGACTTTTTTTGGTTCGCCGTGATGCGAATAGGTGTGTACTTCGTCGTTACATGAACTGAAGTTTAGTTTTCTTTTCCCGAAAAAGAAGAGAGAGAGAGATTGGCATTTGTTGAAGCTTAATTTCTGAATATGTATCCTATTGAGTCTGGAATCCATGGGATGGAAAGAATAGAAGATAAGAGAATAGAAGATAAAAAGAATTATTAAAGAAGTTTTATTGAAGAAGCTTTAGCTTAAATACATTAACATGTCAATCTCCTGTTTATATATATTAGGAGGGAGAAATTTTATCTGCTATCATGCCCCCGTAAGATGGTGCTCTTGTCAAGGATACAAATCTTGGATTGATGCAAAGCAAACAGTTTACGAGCCAGAAGCTTCGTGAGTAGGGCAAGAGCAGATCACTACTACTGTTGTTGCGGCTGCGACGACAACGACTGCAGTAGAGGAGAAAGCTACAGCAATGGAAAAAGCTATAGCAATGCTATAGCAGAGGAATAAGCTACAATAGAGGAGGAAATTACAGCGATGCTATTGTTGTACAGTAGAGGAGGAAGAGGAGGAAGCTGCAACAATACTACAATAGAGAAGAAGACTACAGTAGAAGAGGAAAAGTGGGGTAGTGCTGGTGAGCGCAGCACTAGAGACGCCACAGCGGAAGGGAACGGACATTGGTGTAGAGTGGCAGTGGAGAAGACAGTTGCCGTTCGCCGAGGAGGAAAGATTACCAACGGAAGAGAGTTTGCTCTAGGTAAGTGGCTCTGATACCATGATAAAAAGAATAGAAGATAAGAAAATATAAGATAAGAAGAATTATTGAAGAAGCTTTAGCTTTAATACATTAACATGTCCATCTCCTATTTATATAGATTAGAAGGGAAGATTTTCTTTCCTCATATAATTGAGGAAATTTTATCTGCCATCATCCCTCTAAAAAAAGAAAGCAAAGAAGCAAAAGAAGAGAACCTAAAGATCGTGTAATTGTTATGCCTTTTCTGTTCCTTAAGATATTTTGGATGGAGTGGCTCTTTATAAATAAATAAATAAAAAATTTACTATTTAGAGTCTGTCTCCATTCACAATTGTTTTACTATTCTTAATTCCTTAAAAAATAATAAAATAATATTTTATTACTTACAGCCCCTCTAATTTCATTTTCACTCTTTTTTTTTTTCTTCCCTACCTTCACCTCAATCTTCAAATTGTCTAATTTTATTATTCATATTTTTTTCATCATTTTATGTTATCTTTGACGATTAAGAAGAGAAAGAAAATCTGGTGGAGAAAAAAAAATGATAGGTAAGGAATGAGAAAATTTTATTAAATTTAAATTATAAATTGAGGACATATACATTTATAAAGAGAACTTAGAAATAATAAAAATTATTAATATGAGATTATAAATAACTAAAAAAAATTACTGATGATCTTGGCTTTTGCCGTTTGAAGGTCAATGTAGATGTAACCATTGTGCACGTGGCTGTACTGCATATATTTTTGGCGTGATATCTTTCATTTGTTATCTCCTCAAATCGTTACAACATCATCTCATTTTTAGTAACTTGGATCCGTTTGATACTTCACTGGTTTTATGGGTTAAGGTTTTGCTCTGCTCTGCTCTGCTCTGCTAGACTTATTTTAAATTTTTTATATGCAAAAACCATACAATAAACATGAATTATTTTGTGAGCAACTCAAACAATTGTGACATATATTGATAAATGTGATATTGATATGTAACAAATATCAAGTGTAACACATATTTACCAGCATGCACTACTAGCACTAGCGCTAATGGTCATGGCATCTGTAAACTACCGTCATCAACGGATTCCATGAACCATATCCACCAGGCAACGAACAGCTCTATAAGAATCAGAAATACGGTGTCTTGGTCTCAGACGTGCTGAGAATTTATGTGGCAAAAGTTTATGAATAACAAAGAAGAGTAATATCTTTCTTTCCAATGGAGAAAATAAACAAATTGGGAAAGTAAAATAAGCAACTCAGGAGCTCCGAACTACGTACTTCCATCCTCGGAGCTCAGAATTGAGAATACTTCAGATCCTCTTCGAGAAAGAAATGTTTCACAAGCAGAAATAACTGAGGAACAGTAGAGTAATTCACCATCTGCTCCGTCTGTGCATGTATGGGACCACCCCTTAAATGTAGCTTTTTTTGTTTCCCTTTCTCCTCTCAATTCTTTAACTTCTTTTCGAATGTCTTTTTTCTCTTCAGCCTGAGATGATACTTTCAAACTCTGCATGCCCTACAGACAATTAGTAATTTTGCAAGTCACTCCCCGATTTGTGGAGTGTATGTACCTCATCGCATGTCACTCCTGAAGAAACTTCCATCAGATTTGACGCAATCTGAATCTGTATCAAATGTCTTACTCCATATTATCCCATTTTTGATTGATGGCCACTTGTAAAGTCTTGACTCCGGTTCCTATATGCTGATCTACTGAGTAATAATACCTCACTAAGATTTGGTACATTCATGCTACTCCGGTCAGCAGTCCCCTCTAGTCCAACTGCTTGCATGCGCACTCACAGATTGTCAGATTTCATTGTTGCTGGAGATTGAAGGGAAATATTAGCAAATTGATTGTTACTTGGTGGCAGAACCCAATTCATCCAGTCATTACGCTTTCTTATTTTCTCACCCTGCGATAAGCATGTGATGGAAAAGATGAGAAATCACAGCTGCATCTGCATAATCCGTGTGTATGCAAGTATGATACAGAAAGATTCTTCACTATTTTTCTTGTTCAAAAAGCAAGAATTCCAGTGAGCAGCCACACCATAATATGATCTTTACAATGTACATCTGCCATTCTTAAGGTCCACCTACGTTACTAAAAGAGTGGCTCATAATTACAAAATAAAAGGAAAAACAGGATTTAGAAATATTCACAGATAGGATATCAATTTTTATTTCCAATAGTAGTATGAAAGTAAGCACTGATTAAATATTCAGAATAAATCAAATTAAAAAATAAGTCAGATTTCTATCACAGTAGGTGATTTTATGCCCTTTTGGGTAGGTTTAGATGGGAGGTCAATTTTGAAGGGGAATTCGATTCCAATTTAAGTTGATAAGAAACAAAATAGATCAAATTAATTAATTAATTAAAATATCAAAATCTTCAATATTAGGATCCTAATTCAAATAGGAATCCCTTCTCAAAATAAGGATAGATAGACGCCCTTCCATCAATAGAAGATCAAGCATCTGGTCTACCAGGTGGAGCACATACACGGTCTACAAGAGAGGTAATTCTCCAATTTTTTGTTTTTAATTATTATAATATTTTCGTAATTATAATGTTTAGAAAATCATATAATCATATTAGATTTAATTCTGATTTTTTTAGAATTCTAGATGAGTTAATTGATGTTTTTATATTTAAATATATGAGATCTAAGGTTGATTTAATCATGAAAAAATCTAGTTTTGGATTAAAATCAATGATTGTCGTATGGTCTGTCAGAGTATTGGCCCCTAGTCGGATTGATATGTATTGGTCGGAACCGATGTACCGACACACAATGTAGCGTGTACTAGTGTTTTGAAGACAAGGAAGAAGGAGAAGAGGAAAGGATAGTGGAGTAAGAGGAGGAGAAAAAATGAGGAGAAAGAGGAAGGAAAAAGTGGCCAGGGACAAAGAATAACATGAGGAAGAGAAAGAAAGAGAGAGAAGAACACTCAATTGGTGATTGTGCACGTTGGTGGTGTGTAGCTTGGTCGCACTATCACAAACGAATCATTGGTCTGTAATGCCTTCGTAAAAGGACCATTTGTCGCCTATGTTTGCCTATACAATTGTTTGACATTGAGTTTTCCCTAGTTTTTATATGTTTTTGCTTGGTTTTTGTAAACATGGGTAGTTCACTACGTGTGTAGTAGTTGATTGATAGACTAGGCAAAATAAAAACGAATTTGCTCCATTTTCGCATATTAGCTATTGTGCAGTAGTGTTAGCCATCTCAACCCCTTAGAACCACTCTGGTGGCACAAGGCTAGTTGGGGCTTTGGAGTAGTGTTGGGCTTGTTTGGATAAACAACTTTGTATAGAAAGTAAGCATAAATTACCTTATGCAAAGTGGACTAGTGATTGTCTTTTGACCTTCTAAAGTCCTTGTTTTCCCCTTTTCTCTTTGCACTTCAAGTGTTTGTTAAATTACTTATTTATTGTACATTCCCACAAGATGTCGTGACTTGTACGCTACTCCTTTTCTTAAATCTAATCAACTTTCAACTTTATCTTTTGTAGGTCCTTCAAGACTTGTTTGAGGTTGCTTCTAGGCTGACCTGATGTAGGATGAGAAATAGCAAAATTCCTTTTTATAATAGACGTTTAGAAAGAGAGGAATAGAAACTAGTAACTGAAAGATAATAGAAAAACATAACGAGATAACTATCAGACTCGTCTAGCTCAAGGAGTGAACGCCCAGGATGAAGGCCTCGCATCGTTGCACATCTTGCACATGGACGATAGAATCAAGGTCTGCCATACCGAAGCGTACTGCCCGTACCGGGCAGTACGTACCGATCCGACAGGTTACCAGTACGTGGACCGCTACAATGCTACAGTACTATACTATAGCACTACTATAGTGCTACAGTACTATGCTATAGCACTGCTACAGTATGAAAAAGTATAAAATTATTCGGTACACCAGGGTTTACCGTTTGGTACGCCCTGATGTACCGCCCGATACATCGGTACCGTACCGTATCGAGCCCGGGTCGAAACGCCGGTACGGTACGGTACGACGAACCTTGGATAGAATCATTCCACTGGAAAAGCAACTTGTGGCTTCGCACAACTCACACTTAAGGTGGGAAAAAAACATGATTCATTGAGTCGCACCACTCAAACAAAAGGTAGGAAAAAAATACGATTCATTGATTCATCTTTAATTGATGCATTACAATGATCTAGCACCTTTTTATAGGCTCAAGCACAAGAATAAAAAGGAAATTACAGAAAGAAAGAAAATTACAATCGTATCAAATCAAATATACGATCTGTTCCTTCTTTTGAAGAAGATAATATTCTTGATTCGGTTTGAAGGATAATCTTCTTTTGTTTGATGATATTATTGATTGATAAACTTCCATATTCTTGAGTAAATGTTGTCATTTGACAACTTATGACATATGCAAAATATCTCTAACTAATAAAATTTATTCAGATAACATATAAACTAAATTCCTCACCCTTACGAATGGCTATTATAAGGGTGCCTCACGACTTAGACAATTCGAGCTAAGTCTACGACATTTGGTTTTAGAGTGGGCAAGTGATTCAAAAAAAAAAATGAAGGTTCGCACTCTCGCCATGGTGAAGCACCATGATGAATAGAGCAAGATTGCTCAAGCAGGGCCAAGGCCACTACCCCAAGCGGCCGCAAATGTAAAATCACTCTTAAGCTATTGGAGCCACTCGAGAAATGCAGTAGCCAAAATGGCGAGTGAGAAGTTGGCAATTCTCCGTGAGCTAAGGAAGCGCAAATCAAAATATCAACTATAAGAAAATAGAACCATAAGGAGAGGCTTGTAATAACGGAAACCCACCTCGACATCCTCAAAGCAAGCCTAGAGGAATTCTATCAAGGCTAACGAAGGCTCCTTGGGGTAGAGAGCTCACATGAGGATATAGGATCTCGAATCAGCATGATGGAGTCTTGAGTCAACCGATTGATAGAAGACACCCAAGAGTTTGTGTAGAATTTACAAAAAGTTATGGTAGATCTCACGACAAGAATTACAATGCTCATGAGAGCTCTTTATGCGAAAGGGAAATACACCCACGTTGCTCCGCCATAAAACTTGAGGGCACCGAAGCCGCACTGCTACTAGGGTGTTAGGGACGCAAAGGAACTTAAGAAATTTCTATTCGACATAAAGTAGTACTTTCAGGCAACGAAGCCTAATTATAAAGAATATAGAGTTTTGATAGTGACCATATATCTGAATAGGAATGCAAAACTTTGGCAGCACACCCGATGGGAAGAGATTTAATAAGGTTCAATGCTAGGAGGATATATAGGAAGACTTAAAGCGAGAGTTGTGAACTCAATTCCTACTTGAGAACATTGAGTTTATCGTACGATGGAAACTGAGATGACTCCGCCAAAATACTTTAAATTTCAATTTTCAAATTTCTTTGTTGTAGGTCCTCCGAGGCTTACACGAGGTTGTCTAGGCTGATACTATGCGGACGTATAACATAAGGGTGTCTTATGAGTTAGGCAATTTTAATTAAGTCCATGACAGCACAATGTCTCCTGTGTGTGCAAGATGCGATTAGGGAAAGTATGTGTGCTATGGTCTTGCGGCGATGTCATGGTGTGCGCGAGACACGATTAGGATCATCCTTGGACTGAATCTTTCGTTTTAAACAGGCAAACCGAACCACCTGAAACGGGGGTGGTTTGTGTACCAATACACATTGGTTATTTCATACTAATATAGGCAAAATATTCTTTGATTAAAATAACTATTCTCTATTATATTTTATGTAGTAAATTATACATAATTATTTTATTAAATTATGTTTAAATTTTTATCATTTATCTATTTCGAATAAGGAATTATAAAATTATTAGGGTTTTAAATTCAAAAGAAATAAATTTTAATTTTAATTATTTGAAAGTCTATTTTGACTATTTAATCTTGTATTTCTTAAAATTTTGCATATTCTAAGTCTTTATTCTAATAATTTTTGGTGGGTCTAGAACCATTATTCCAAAATTTTAAGCTTCATGTAAAATAAGATAGATTGATTCAACTGGATTGAGGATTTGGTTGAATTCATGTTTCACCTGAGTTGACCAACCAGACTTGGTCAACCCAACCCAAAATCCCACAAGGCTTAAGGGCTTAGCACAGGCAATGATTTCATGGGCCAACCAAAAGCAACATCGCTCGACTTGGATCGATTCTACAAAGTGTGGCCAGACTCGATCCATTGCTCATGGCTCGACGTTGGCGGCCCCCATCTATGGTCCAAGCAAGTTCTAGCCCAACCTTCAACTTTGCTCTTTGAGCATGTGCAGGGCATGTGATGGCCCATGTGGATCGGTCCAAGGCCAAGCCCCATGGCTTGGGAACAGGCTAGTCCAAGCCCTTTCAACTCGACCTCACTTTATGGGCATGTGCAACGCATGTGACCTAGTCCAAGGCTCCTATGACTTGGCCCAGAGTTTATTCCAACACTCTATGCTCAATCTAGAATGCTTGTTGGCCTTTGTGTAACAGATTTAAGATTGGCCTATGGTCCTTGTGAGCCTTTAGCAGCTTGAAAATTGATCGAACAAAACTGATTTGCCCCATTCACACCGGTTTAAGATGATTCCAATCCGATTTAAACCGGTACGAGTGTGTTTGACACAAATTAGAGCCAATCAAGTCCAGTTAGACCATTCTAGGGTGTATCTAGACCGGCTCTATGAAGATTTGATGTCAATTCAGTTAGGTTCTAGCTGAATTGAGTTCAGTTCAACACAACTGAACCAATTCAGTTAGGGTTCAAGATAATTGATTGTTAATTAGGGTATGACTGCTCATGATATTGATGTATGATGGTTTATTAATGATCTTGATATGTTTTAAATGAGTTTCCATGATAACACTATACCCTAAGACCCTAAGACGTATATCATATACAAGGTTTTTAATTTCAAATAATACCACCCGTACCAGGCAATACATACCGGTCCGCCAGCAGACTAGTACACAGATTGCCCGCTACTGGGCGGTATCGTCGATTGGGGCTGTTTCCGCCCTATTATTAGGCGGAAATTGCCCCTAAATCGGGCGGTGACCGAGGGAGAAGAAAGAAGAGGGGTGACCGAGAGAGAAGAAAGAAGTGGGAGAAGGGGAAGAAAGAAAAGGGAGAAGAAGAGGAGAACCTAGAGATCGACATCGCTCTCCCTCCTCGTCTGTCGACGACTTCTCATCCGCGCAAGAGAAGAATCCCCGGTGTCGTGGGGAGAAGAGAGGTGACATCGCAGATTTTATTTTTTTACTTTATATATATATATATATATATATATATATATATATATATATATATATA